CCATGCACACGCACCCGGCATGAGTTTAAGCCACCAGGTCTAGGACTTGAACCACGATCGGCTACATGGGAGCCCAGTGACATAGCCATTACGCTAACTGCTGGTCCCCGGGAGGCTTTTCTTTTTTCTTATTAAGTTCTTTCTCTCTCTTTTAAAGAATGATTTATTTATTTTATTTCATTTGTTATTATTTTTTAATTTGACCAGTGAGAGAAAGGGAAAGGGAGAAAGCAAGTTGCCAGGTCTGGGACTCAAACCACAGTCACCCATGAGGGAATCTAGCGCTTTTACTCTTTTTTTTTTTTCCCAGAGGCTTTTGCTATAGGGCACGTGCGCTTGCCAGAGAGACAGAGACAGAAAGCGAGAAATCACCCCCCAGGGGGATGGTCACGATGCAATTCCTTCACCATTCTCCTCTCGGGATCTTGGGCACGCATGCACACGTGCCCAGCGTGAGTTTAAGACACCAGGTTCGGGACTCGAACCATGGTAGACTACATGGGAGTCCAGCGACATAGCCATTACGCCAACTGCTAGTCCAGGGGAATCGGAATCCAGCCTTAAACACCACGCCACAGGCCAGCTCCAAAACGTTTTCTTCATTATAGAGAATGGGCATGCACCCATGAGAGTAGGGAGGGGCACCCCCACAGCAATTGGCCGCTTTCCGATCCCCTCCCTCCAGTTCCAGACCCTTCAGATCTTAGGCACCGGCACTTGTGCTGATGTGTTTCCAGCCGACAAGGCCAAGAATTGCAACCAATTCACTATGTGGGATCTGGCTTCTCTCTCTCTCTATCTCTTTTAAAATTTGCTAAGGTTGAAATCAGCAGATGGCGTAATGGTTACATCACTGGACTCCCACGTACTCTACCATGGTTCAAGTCCCAGACTTGAGGGCTTAAAACTCACACCAGGCACATGCGTGTTCATGCCCAAAATCCAAAAAGGAGAGGAGAAGGGACTGCAGTGTGGCCATCCCTCCCAGGGGGTGATTTCTCACTTTCTGTCTCTCTGGTGGGTGCATGCAGCCTATAGTAAAACTCTCCCTAAAATTTTTGTTAAAGGTCACATGCACTTGCCAGAAAGAGATGGGGGAGGGAGGACGGCCACCCAGCAATCCCTTCTCTATTATCTTCCCAGGATCCAGTGCATGCATGCACATGTGCCCAGTTTATTTTTCAAGCCACTAGCTCTGGGCTTCAAACCATGCAGTCAGCCGAGTGGGATCCAGCTGCCTTCCCCACCACGCCATTGGGTGGCCCAATCTGGTTTCTTAAAAAGTGCATTACTCGGGGACCAGAAGTTGGCATAATGGCTATGTCGATGGACTCCCATGTAGTTGACTGCAGTTCAAGTCCCAGGCCTGGTGGCTTAAACTTACCCGGGCGCGTGTGTGTGCGTGCCCAGGATCCCGAGAAGAGAATGGAGGAGAAGAGATTGCTGTATTACCATCCCCTCTGGGTGTGAGCTCTCACTTTCTGTCTCTCTCTCTTTTGGGTGAGCATACGCACCCTATAGCAAAAACCTCACCCTCCACCGCCCCCCCAAAAAAGTGCATTACCGCTGCACCACAGAGCCAGTCGAAGGCTGCCTTGGCTGTCATTCGGCGTGTGCTAAGCACTGGCATGAGGCCTCATGCTAGGAGCCACTGCGTCTAGCTCTTCAGAGAAACACTATTGCTATTCAGAGCTCACCAGAAATCTGCTGCTGTCCCGGCCTAAGGGACCTCGGGGATCTCAGGGAAGTCACACCTGCAGCCGTGGGCGCAAGCACAGGTGCAGAGGCAGAGCAAGCTGATGGGGCAACCTGGCTTTATACATGCGGAGGCCTGCTCTTCTGCTCAGCTATCTGGCTGTGTACTCAAGGAATGTAAGGAGCTTCCTGATGCCATTTGTGATGGGGAAACAAACAATCTAAAAGCCCATCAATGGGGTCAAACTAAATAAACTCTGGTACGGACAGAAAGAGCTCTGCTAAGAAGGAAGGTCACATGACTATGAAAGTCAAACGACAGAGTAATCTTGCCCGTCTCTCTCCCTCACACACACAAACCAAAGTTCGTTTACAGCAGTAATGGCTGGGGAGGAGAACTGGGGAGAAGAGCCGGAAATGGAACGAACAAGGGACTTTCTCTTTCATTCACATGTAGATTTAAAGTACAAGTTTATTTTGATGCTGAAGGATTTTGAAATCCATGCAGTATTTTTTTGTTCTTTTTTTAAAAAAATTTGATACAGGGTGTAGGCACTCACTGGAGAGAGATGGAGAGGGAGGAGCGGTGAGAAATCACCCCCACAGGGGAGGTTGGGCTCGCTGCAATCCCTTATCCCTTCTCCTCTCCGGATTTTGAAATGTGTGCACATGTGCATCATGCCATGGGACTCAAACCGCACAATCAGCCATGTGGGATCTGGCCACCTTAACCGCCTACTCAGTTTTTCATATGTGTTTTCCATGAATTTCTGTAAGACCTCTTACATACATGTGCATATAGATACACATGCCTCCCTGTGAGATGTTAGGATTCTTACTAACATAATAGAACCAAGAAAGGACAAGGTAAGCAATACTGGGGCCTAGAGAAGAGCAACTCTAACTGCCCCCCCCACACACACACAAGTGCCTCTCAACCTCTGAGCAGGGCCACTAAGGGACGATTTGGTTAGGCACGCTTCTTTTCTCCTCGCAGTCTCAAAGATGAGAAGGTGGTGTGGCAGGTGCCCTAGGGCACACTAACTGAAGTCCCAGAGACCAGGATGCAGCCCAAGCTCTGCTATGATGGCTTGGGTGACCCTGGGAAGGTCACTGTTCAGCCCTGGACCAGTGTTCTCATCTGTATGGGTGGAAGATGGTACAGAGCATGGGCCTGTCCACAGACCAGCCCTGCCACTCACCTGCTGGGATCCTAGATAAATCATTTGCCCCTTTCCAAACCCCGGTTTCCTGAAAAGGGAAGAGAGGCAGAGAGGATGTCTTCTACCCTCCCAGAATGTGGCAAGAATTCAATGACAGCACACATCTAACGGCTTCCTACAGTGCCCAGTGCCTGCTGTGTGCTCCGGAAGCAGCAGCTGTCATTATTGCTGCCCAGTGCAGGAATGACGCTGGCCCTGCCTTAGGGGGACAGAGAATATCTAATAAGGTGTGCACTGGAAAGAGCTTTGGAACTAGAGACTGGGGCACGAAATCAAGGGTCACACAGGAGTGCTCTCTGCGGCCCTCTTCCCCAGCCCCCCAAACTTCCACCACACAGCTGAGATTCCCAGCGGAGTGGGCATTCTCCAAATCCTATGGGCAATGTTGTAATCAGTTATTTATCTGGGACCTTACTTTAACTAAACAGGAAGCAGCAAATCAGAACTGATAAGAAGGGCCACTGGAGACAAGGGGCACAACTTGTGCAAATTACACGCTGGCCCAGGGAACTCAGACTCCTGGCAGCCCATCCCTGGACCCCCTCCCCATCCTCACACCTCTGACTCTCACAGTCCTCAAGGTCAGAAAACCCACTCCAACTCCTCGGACTCTTTTACACATCATCCAGGGCACATCCCTCTCCCAAACTGCTCCAGGAACTAGGGGGGGTCCTTTCCCATAACCTCCCCCAGTGAGGTCCCTCGGGGTGACTCCTCACCTGCCTTCCTGCTCTACAAAACACTCCCCCTCATGCATCACTCCAGGGTACAACATTCCTCCTGGTCCCCACCCCAGACATCGTGAATCTCTGCACCGGCCCGGCCGAGCTCTCGTCCAGGTCAGGGCGCTCTACCTGACACCCGACACACGCCGCCCACTCAGAGCCATCGCCTCCACGCCTCCACTCCCCGACCTGGCACTGACACTCCTAAGCGCTCCGGTCCACGCTTCCAACCCGGGGATCCCCTCGCTGATTCTGTAGCCAGGGTTCTCCAAAGTTTCTTCATGGGGGAGGGTACACATTCATCCTGGGACCCCTCAAAACCCTTCTCCCACACTCGTACAGCCACCTTTCAGCTCCCCGCGTCGCACAGGCCATCCCAGGCTCCCCGGCTTCCTAGCCTTGTTCCTCCCGGCTCCCCGCCCGGACCCGCTCTCGCCCCCAGAGGGCCTCGAGTCCCCCCGGGTGTCCCCTCTATCCCACCCGGAGCCCTGATAACAGGCTCGCCTGCAACTTGCATCTGGTCGGAGCCTGGCAGCGGCTTGGGCGTCCCTCGACGCCCTGCGAGCTTTTGCTCACTCGCATCCGAGACCACCGAGCCCTTCCCCAGACCCCCGGCAGCACCCTCTCCCGAGTCCTCCCGGGCTGCGCTCCGAGCCCCGCGCCGCCTCCCCCGGCAGCCCCGGTGCGGTGCGCTCACTCCCACGCCCACTCCCGCTTCTGCTCCGGCCGGTTTGGTCCTCCGCCCCATTCCCTCGGCCGGTCT